AGGAACCCATCTCTGATACACTAGCTAAAAAAATTGTCCAGTGAAAAACAATTATATTATTTGGAAATATTTCACAATGGTTTATTGAAAATAAATTGTAGCTGTGTTTTCAGAAGCTCATTTTGAATAACTGGATGCATTTTTCATTGTATGCCTTGCATAAAATGGGCTAGCTAGAGTTTCATTTCATTAATGTGAGACTGTAATAGAGCCTTAGAGCAGATTCAATTTTTTACAGCAGATTTATCCTTATCAGTTCCACATTATTTCATAACATGAGTCTGGAGCATGCTATGGCCAGGGAATAATATAAGAACTTTAAATTCAGAATGGCAATGGTGAAGAAGTGAGGCTGGATAATAGTCTCTCAGCAGGTGTGTTAGAATAGTAACTTAAGTTAAATGTGCTGATGAAGCTATACCTAAATTGAAACAGTAGCTCATTTTCCTGCTTTAAGCTATTTGAAGAGCTGTAAATAAAATCAGGGGGAAAAGCTATTTAAATTGCAGATTAAGCTTTTTTGATACTGTTTTCATCAGCAAAAATATTACGGAGGTTAGGATGTAATATTCTGAGAAAACTACAGGATCTTCAATAATCTGATTGAATTTACTACTGACTTATTTCTTTCATTCTCTGGAGCTCTGCTTTGACCAGCATAAAGAATCTAAGTCTAGCTAATATGTTCCTTTTGTCCAGGTCTCCTGAAGCATTTAGGAAATTACAATGGCCATCAGTCACCTAATGCAGGGGTGTCAAACTTGCAGCCCACAGACTTGATGCATAAAATGCTGGCCACGCCCACCCCCATTTTAGTAAAGGGGGGGAGTTGTGATATGTCACATGATGATGTGTATCAAGAGTTTGACACCCTTGACCTAATGGGTTTCCTTCGGAAAGTTTCAGCTAGAAGTCAGGTAAGCTCACAAGCGCTGATAACAGTGGCGGGTTTTAAAAATTTTTAGAACCTCTTCTGTAGGTGTGGCCTGCTTTGTGGCAGTGGCTTGCCGGCCATGTGACTGAGTGGGAGTGGCTTGGCAGTCATGTGACTGGGTGGGCATGGCCAACTTGTAAAATGTGGTGAAACTCACTTAACAACGCTCTTGCTTAGCAACCAAAATGTTGGGCAGAAACTCTGGCATTTGAAGCATGCAAGTCTTAAAGCTGTCAAGTTACAAGGCCCTTGCACCCCTAACCCTTTAGAAAAAAACCCACAGGGGTGTTCAGACTTGATAGCTTTAAGACTTTAAGTTTAGATAAGACTCTTAGAGGCAGGCGGGGCGATTGGTGAGGCAGCCAATCAGTGAGCGGCGGGCAGGGCAAGCGTGATGCGGACGGGCGGGGGTAGGGAGCTGGAACCGGTTCTAAACGGCACAGTAGATTTGTGGAACCTCTTCTAAAGAAGAGGTTAGAACTGGTAGGAACCCACCTCTGGCTGACAAGCATAGGAATAGGCCCAGGTTCTGGTACATTATTCAAGAACTTATGAAATTTGTAATAGCAATAGCACTTAGACTTATATACCATTTCACAGTGCTTTACAACCCTCTACTAGATTATTATTGAAATGTTCATAATAAAAATATATTTTCAAGAAAAGAAGTACTCTTTACATTCCCAATTTACTTTTAAATTTAGCTTTTCATCCTAAATATGCATAAGGCATATTTGGTGGAATTCATTTTTTTTTACCATGGTTCTGTGGGCGAGGCTTGGTGGGTGTGGCTTGGCATGGCAGGCATGGCTGGGTGGGCATGGCAGGGAAGGATACTATAAAATCTCCATTCCCTCCCAATCAGCAGGGACTCGGGAGGCAGAGAATAGATGGGGCGGTACCAGATTTTACTGGTTGGTGGTATTTACCAGTTCTCCAAACTACTCAAAATTTCTCCAGAACTGGTCAGAACCTGCTGAATACCACCTCTGACATAAGGACATTTAAGGAGTCTGGGAAAGAAAAATGAAGTTTTCCAACATGGCAAGAGTCAAATGGAGTTTTGTCTTACAAATCAAGCATGGAGCCATCTATGAGGAACTCTAACAGAGGAGCAAGCAGTTGATACAGAGTCTACTTCAATTACTCATGGATAAATTGCCCAGCCATTGGGAATTGGACAGAATATTAATTTACTTTAAATTATTAATAATTCCTTATTAATGTACATTTATTTATTAATTCCTTAGCTGGCCAACGGCAGATAAGGAACTGGCAGCTGTAACTACATTGTTGTGAACAGATTATAATTTAAGTATTTAATAATGTAATTAATTATATATAATAACTTTTATATAAATATAATGTACATCATTCTATTGTACATATATTATATACTGTAAATATAATATTGTTTTTGGTAGGCGCTCAGTGTATTGATAACTACTGGTAGTGCCAGTGGTTATCAGCCCTCTAGATGCCAAACCAAAGCCTTGGATGACACTTTGAAAAACTGCCCATTTACAAAATTTCCATTTGTCAGTTGCAAAAGGTCATATTGCTTGCATCTACACGTATACTACGTCAATATACTACAATCTCCTAGGTACTTGGGAAGAATTCGAATGATGACAGAATAAAAACAAAATAGCAAACTTGACTTCCTGTGTCCTAATAAACATGTATAGAGATTAGATAGATTAGAGTCTCCAAATAGAGGGCAGACATTCATCTCTCAGAAATATAGTAATAGATATTGCATCAAGCAGGGTGTTAAACTAACGACCTCTATAATTTCTTCTAATCCAGTCATTCTGATATATAAATATGCACACACAGGAAGAAGTAGAGTATGCTAGGAAACCTTATTCTGAGTAACAAAACTTCATGCAGGACAGGGAGAAGCAGAGTTAATGAGGAACTAACCAAGCAAGCGTATGCAGAATGAGAATTTGAGCTGCCTGGAGAAGCCCTCCTCCTTGTAACATTTTACAAGATTAAGTAAAATCCACATTTTTGTCAAGTCTTCTCTCTATTATTTCCAAGCCCAGGAGGAAAAATATCATCATCTTATGAAATTAAGCTTAGGAAGACAAAAAACAGTTGGCATCCATGAAAGACTGTTCCCTCCAAGCTTGTTGTGTTTATCAAATAACTGTGAAAGGCAGCAGGTGAAGAACAGATGGTGTATTTTTTCCACCCCAGTTATGTTCCTTAGAAGCAATCTACTCTACTACAAAGCTAAACCTAGAAGAAAGCGTCTATTGACCTCAATCAATATCTGAAAACTGGAAAATAAATTCGGAATGTATTGTTCCATGAGGCCAGAACTAGTAATATCCATCTTGACAAAGCAAACTATTTCTGATTACAACTGGCAATTGAAAAATGCAAACCAAATATTTGCCAACCATAGTAATCTTGAGGTGATATATCATTAATTATTGAAAGCATTCAAATTACTTAGCTGTGCTGTTAATTATAACTGAATGAAACTGAATAAAATCAATCTGAAAGTCTACAGAAAGAAATGGTAAACCACTATCTCATAAATTGGGTGATAATGCTCATTTTTGCAAATTAAAATGACATAATGAGAATTATTTTAGTGGGGAACTTTGGTCAATTAATGCTTATTTTTTAATTGCCATTTTTTTAACTTTACTGGTAAGATAGTCTTAAATGACATAACAATGATCCTTCAACTGTTTATGGAAAGAAAAAGAAATGGTCTAATTGATAACTATAGAAAACCTTTCATTCTATTTTCATTTTCTATTTTATTTCTGCATTCTATTTTATTTTCATTCTACTTTTCTGCGTGCCTAATTCTACATAGATATTAATAAGTAAAGGTAAAGGTTCCCCTCACACCTATGTGCTAGTCGTTCCCAACTCTAGGGGGTGGTGCTCATCTCCCTTTCAAAGCCGAAGAGCCAGTGCTTTCCGAAGATGTCTCTGTGGGCATGATTAAATGCCAAAGACGCACAGAACTCTGTTACCTTCCCACCAAAAGTGGTTCCTATTTTTCTACTTGTATTTTTACATGCTTTTGAATTGCTAGGTTGGCAAAAACTGGGACAAGTAACGGGAGGTCACTCTTTTACGCAGCGTAGGATTCGAACCGTTGAACTGCCGACCTTTCTGATCGACAAGTTCAGCATCTTAGCCACCGAGCCACTGAGTCCCTGGAGATATTAATACAATACTAAATTTTACAATATAGAAAGCTTAGTTTATTCAGTTTGTATCCTAACTAAAACTCCAATGTACATGGTATCTTTATTCTTACTATACTATTTTCCCAAGAAAACTGGAGGAAATTTTACAGATATGATTGAATGGGGAAAAATTCTTATTATTAGTTCTGCATTTTAAACTTTTGTTTTATAATCTATTTTGCTTGTAGTAACCACATGGGAGATGATAGGAAGTGATCTCATATTATGTATTAGTGGACATATTGAGCTTTTGTTGTTAAAGATTTTGTGATGATTGGGTGGTGGAAGAGACAATAATAGATGGCAACATTGGGCACCATGAGTGGCAACAAGAGAAGAGACCTAAAAGATTTGGGAAGGTCAGATGGAAGGCCAGGTCTGCCAGAGGCCTTGATTCCAAGCCTGGAATCTAAGAATGCCAATAATTTCATGGCTACAATAGGCTGGTAAGTGAACCTTTTTAAAAACCAATTTGTTTAGTTATTTAATGAAAGTCCATTTGTCCCCTTGTTCCTATGCTAAGCAACTGTCTGTTCTGTAGCTTCACCCTACCCATTACTTTATAGACTTAAAGAATTTCTGAACCTTTCAAGTGACTTGATATAGGCTACACAGCAAAAGGATAGTAAAACAAAAAAGCAAAACAACCACAAAGAGATTATGCAACAAATTCAAACAAATGCCCATGTGCAAAAGAAAGTGTTTAACATATTTTAATTTTTAAATACCTCTGAATTATTCAGTGTACATTCAAGCTAGAACCACAGCAAGCAAGGCTGACAGTGATAGTGGGACAGCTGGTCTCCTATACATTCAAAGCACGCAGAATATATCAACAGACTTACCAGAGCTTCTGATTTGGTTGTAGGTCTGACTACAATATTGTGGTCAGGATGCAGCATAACTGGTTTGGAAACTATAGGTACAGCTGGATGACGCTGGGCAGGGGTGCCTGGAGTAAATTGCTACAGGGGTTCCAATATAAGAATGTTACAGAAAGGATGTGTACATTTTATGCAGACCAAACACTCTTTCTGGGTCCTACTAGATGACACATTTAATAAGACGCTCTGTCCAATCTCACCAGAAGTGGATCCCTCAAATAAGTAGATCCTATGCCATAACATAGGTGTAACCAGACTTTTGAACTGCCCTTGAAAGCTAGTAATCAGTGCTGTTTGTTCTGGGTTTAGCAATACAGTACTTTCTTTTCTACCCTCTAAATCAGTGTTTTTTAACCACTGTGCCGCGGCACACTAGTGTGCCGTGACATAGTGTAAGGTGTGCCGTGGGAAAAACACTTTATATATAGTCAATATAGGCACAGAGTTAAATTTTTTTAACATTTTCTAATGGTGGTGTGCCTCGTGATTTTTTTCATGAAAAAAGTGTGCCTTTGCACAAAAAAGGTTGAAAAACACTGCTCTAAATTACATCTGCCAATAAACAACACTGCTCACCCTGAATCTTGGACATTACCTACCTCTTCAGTAATGTATAGAAGGGGGGGGAGTGAGTAATACAATTTATAAAAAATGCTTCCATGCAGCATAGTGGAAAAAAATGATGACATGACATGATAAAGCAATTAAAATGCTTATAAAAATGAGAAATACTTCAGAACAGTATCATGCAAGGTAAAAGACACAGTCGAAAATATTTTCATATCTTGATAACGTGAATCGGCAGCAGCATAAGCAGCAGATAATTGTGAGTGCCACAAAATATATATTCTATATCATACCTTTGGACTGGAAAGGTAGGTCTGCTTGCCGCTTTGTGCATTAACTGGACTAATCCTTCTTTCTTTGTAGTTTTTCCCTTCCCAGTCATCCAGGGAATTTTGTGCCCCACTAGGCTGAAAATTGTGGTAGCCAGTTTTTTCATTCAAATGAGTGGACATTGGATGATGGAAAGTGCCAGCAGTCTGCATAGAAGGATGAATGGGTGGTGGAGATGGTGGTGGCAAAGGAGGTGGTGGGACATGTCCCCAAGGAGATGGAGAGGATGATGGAATCCATGAAGGTGAATTAGGTATTGGTACTGATCCCTTAGCTGGAATATTTGGTGGAGAAAGCGGATAAGCTGCTGAGGCTACAGACACTGTATGGGGTAATGGAGGCTGAGGTGCTGGGCGTTTTGAAAGCTTGCCAGTATCATTTAAGTTGATATCATCAAGGTCAGTGGTATGGAGCTGCAAGCCGCCAGCAAACCTTCGCACAGATGTAGCAGAAGCAGAAACAGCAGGACGTACACCTGTTTTCTAGTATACAGATTTATTTTAATGCAGCACTTGCTTAAAATAGCTGAATACAACTCCACTAACAGTAAAAAGCAAGGAACTAGGCTCAAACCCCCAATGCTATCAATTTCTATAAAACAATCCTTATTTTGTCTGGTTGTTTCACACCAATAGAATTTGTATTAAAGGAAACTGTTATGTATAAGACAACTCCTATAGCCCAAGAAACTTTTTCAAACCCAGGCAAATAAAGGTGGCAAAATGGAAAGAAAGTTGGAGCTTTCCATGGATGCAGCTTCTCTTAATCTACCCTGAGGGCAAAGCTGGGTTCTGCTTTCTTATCAGCTAAGAGCCACCTTGCCCACCAACACCCACCATCCTGGTAGGCATACAAGGTACAAAATGGATGGCCACATGCATCCCATGAGCCACAAATTTGAAACCTTTTATCTAGGTCATTCCTAATAACATGATGTGGTTCTTTACTGAATTAAAATGGACGGGTCTATTTCTACATAATATCTGAAACATTTTTTTCATTATAATTGCCTGATAAAACAAGCAATTTACAACAGATCATACTGCAAGTTATGTCTTAAAAAACAGTTCGTAAGATTACAAAACAAATATTTTACTGGGGGAATGAGAATCTTATTTTACCTCAGGAGAATCATTCTCCACCGAGGAGATTTGCTCTAAACGTGTTTGACAGAGCTTTTCCACCCAATGCTGAGTCTTTTCTGATTCTTCTAAATCTTCTCGTTCAGTCTCAGATACCTGAGAGTTGTAGCATAATTTTAGAAGAAAATTTCAGAGTTGACATTTATAGATTTATATTCAAAGGCACACTTGAAATATATTTTGGCAATAAAATGTTGTGTGCAGATCTAAATATTTTTTGTAATTCATCTATTGCATCCTCAGCAAATTCCTGAACACATCTTCACTACGTATTAAAATTGGTTGATTGTTAGATTTGAGTTGATACTTTTTTCTCAACAAGGCTTGCTGAAATAAACGGGGTTATATCTAAGAGTTGCAGAGTCCATTTCTTATCACTCAGTGATTTATAACTGAATGTCTGTAGGAATCTGGCACTTTGTAGAACTCTTCCAGTTTCATGTCATTAATTATCCTTTGGGCAGATGGCAATACAGTAAAACCCCCAAATATATGACAGATACCTGGTTGCTTTATATAAGCAGCTGTTCAAATAAACCACTATTTTAGAGGCGATATTGTCTATTTCACACATATAATACATCCGTTGATCAGATTTATCAAATATTGATCATATATGTGAGTATGCTCCCCACTAACCATTATACTAATTTCTGTGGTAAGCAAAAAGAAACAGTCTAACATACTTCATATTCCAAGTAACAAACACAAAAACAACTGTCATCCAGTTTTCCAAGCATTTATTCCTAGGGAACATAAACATAGGGCTACTTATGTCGGCCAACCACTTATTCTTCCATTTGGTGAGAATTACATGTAGAAAGAGGAATATTCCTTTTGAAATATGTAAGGAAGTCCCAGGGGAATCCATTTTTAGAATAAAATATATATAGGGGGGTCTGTTCACACAATATGGCTGACCTATTTAATGAGCTGTCCATTAAATTAATGGTCTTGGGTTCATTCATAGACTGGACTAATGAATGGCTGTTTGGAGGGAGGCCAGGAGAGTGTCTCTACCTTTTTCTTGGCTGAACAAACCAAAACCTCTGGAATGGTACAATCACATTTGGTGGCAACATCTCAGATGTGGAGGAACTTACTATTCTAATCTTTGAACGTCTTTTTATCCCAAATAGTAAGAGGTATGTGTGTGTGTGAAAACTGAAATGGTAATAGTGAATGGAATCTCTCCACTTTACTGAAGTCTTTTGATATACAACACCAAAAAAATTATAGCATGGTATTCAACACATCCACTCATAAGTATGGAAAGATTTGTTGGTCTTCCAATGAATCTAAATGCCCATCAAATAAATTTCAGAACCACATTACTGTATTTTTCATAGTATAAGACGCACGTTTTTTCCTCAAAAAAGAGGCTGAATATCTGGGTGCGTTTTATACAGTGAATACAGCATTTTTTGCCTCCTGAAGCCCTGCTCCTTCACCAAAATGGCCATGCATACCCTTATGGAGGCTTTCAGAGAGCGTGGCACGACAAAACCGCGCTCATCAAAATCGCGGTGATAAAATCGCAGCGCTAAAGCTGCGACATCATCACTGCGCGTCATCACCGCCACGACAACAGCACGGCAACAGAAAGGCGCTTTAAAATGGCGCCGCAGCAGAAAGCCGACTTCAATTAAGGTAAGGGTTAGGATTAGGTTTAGGGGTTTGTTTTAGGGTTTGTTTTAGGGTTTGTTTTAGGGTTTGTTTTAGGGTTTGTTTTAGGGTTAGGTTTGGCGTTAGGTTTAGGGTTAGGTTTAGGGT